GCGTCACCTAAGCCTGCTTAGAAACCATCTTCCTGCATCACCATGACCTCAAGAGGACTGGAAAGGACTGACCCCCCTAGACTATGAGCCAGAACAACAGGTGTCCTGGCTACTCTCATGAGGATGGAAGCCCCAGCTCTGCAGTGTGTGCTGCAGAGCTGAATTGTGCCTCCTCCTTGGAGCTGCCAGTGTGGGAATGGCCGTGGTGCCAGCAACTCCTCGGGCCCCCCACCCCAAGAGCTGAATCCTAAGAAAGGCATCAAACAGGAGTCTTGTCTCCTGGCCAATTTCCTTCAGTGGACAAGGAGACAGATAAAGCACAGGAGAGGGAAAATGCTCCCTAAATCACAGAATTTAGCTGCATAATTCTTGTGCATGAAGACCCGGAGAAGACAAAAGATTGTAAGTATTTTTCAGGAGAGCAGGAAGGGAGGTTGCAAGACAGCCTCTGGGGTGACTGGGACTGAGTCTCAGGGGAGGGATTGGACCCCTCTGGGGAAGGGAGACAAATGTTTCCCTGGCACAATCCACTGGGAAAACAAGATAAATGTGGGGATCCCCAAAACTTCCCCCAAACAATTTGAGGATTAAATCCAATAAATTTGGGCTTAAAGCGGCCAAACTGAAGATTAATCCAAGAAACCTGGGACATTTTTTTACAATACCCATGGGTGGATATTAACAAGTGACTTGAAAGTAAAAGGTATCTTATTGTTGTCTTGTTGTGACTAAGATGAGTGAGGGTGAGTGACAGATGTGAGAGAGTAAGGGTAAATAAATGTATGTGGTTGTTGATTGAAAGTTTGAGTTTGTTTTCTGGAGGGAGGTAGATTGTATTGTGTTGTTAAAGGAGAAAGATTTTCTGTGCTGTGGAGGGGTGAGAGTGGGGACAGGGACAATGCCACCAGAGGGTCTTGATGGGGCTGGGTCACAGTGGGGACACTTGGTGTTGATTCCCTTCCTCCCTAGGGGCTTCTGTCTTGGAGTCTCGGAATGGCAAACCAGGGCTGGGGCTTGCGGTCCAAGGGCCCCCAGAGTTCTGCCCCAAATTGGTTTTCAGTGAGACTGCCCCAGGGTGGCAGCTCTGGTCCCAGAGCAGAGTCAAGGTTATTTTTAGAAGCGACTCCCTCCTCCCAGCACTTTCTTTTCCCCTGGGCAAATGGAGCCTCTGGGGGACAGTTGCTCCTGTATGCTGTGAGCTAGCATATGGCTCGGCCAGGGCCCTGGGGAGGAGAAGCAGAAGCATTTGAGGGTTTTTTAGGGTTTTGCCCCACTGGGGCTGCAGTGGCAGCAGTGAAAAGATTTTCCTGAGGGATAGTGCCCCTGCAGCTACTCCCTGAGGAGCTGTGGCCTGCTGTGGCACTTGGAGTGGTGGATCAGCCTCAGGAGTGGAGTGGGGCTCCTGTTGGGTCGGACTCCGTAGGTCTTCCGGAGCAGCTGGGCAATGAGGTCAGGGCTCGAGGGGTACCCTGGGAATAAGTTCAGCTCTCCCCTCTCAAGTGGGGCAAGGGTGGAGGCCATCTAGATCTTGGTGCCCATAGATTGTTTAAACTCATTTAGGGCTCTTCCCAGCCCACAGAGCCCTGCTCTGGTTTTTCCGGTGCCTTCAGGTGGGCTGGTTGAGCCCCAGATGCTGGTCTGGGTTCCCCGTGTTCCGGTCCCCGCTCCAGGAACAGGGGGATCAGAGGGGCTCTCAGTAGCTCCTGGAAACCTCCTGAAGCTGTGAAACAGGCCAGGAACATGCTGTGGAGTGGGTTGTTCCCAGTGCCTACTTCAAATAGTGAAGGAGTTGGAGGAGTTCCCCTGGGACCCGAGTTTTCCGGGTCTTCTAGAGCCCCGGGCACATTTGGTTCTCTGATTTCAGGAGTGGAGACTAATGTGGAACTATCTCAGAGAGCTCTTTCTTGGCCAGATGTGCGAGTGGGGTGCGAAGCAGCGCCAACGTGTGGCATGAGCTCCAATCCAGGGGCACTCTGTGGCTGCAGTACTTGTTTTCCTGGGTCTCAGAAGAATTCCCTGTGTGATTGTGCTGTGAGTTTCTGCAGCGGTGGGCTGTGTCTCTGCTTAAAGTCTTGGATTTTGGGGAGAACAGTGAAGTTTAGAGAAGGGTTTGGAAGGATTCCAGGAGATGCACCCGGGGAGAGAGTAGGGAGGAAGTAAGCTCTCTTTGGTTTTTCTGGGGGGAGGTGAGTGCCATCTGAAGCCTTTGATAACTTTGAGGGTAGGCCCTCAAGAAGAGGTATTAGAATTTGTGGTTGATTCTGAAGCAGGAAGAACTTATGTAGTAAAAATTACAGAAAGATGTGGTGTAGGTGGTAACACAGTAGAAGTAGCAGGGGGAGAAGAGTTTGAGATTCCTGTCACTGGAGCTGTAGAAATTCGAAGGAAAACCAGCATAAGAACAGGAGATGTTTTACTAGTTCCTGGAGCTAAGACATCAACTTGCTGGGAAGGGACTTGCAAATACAATTAAAAATGGGGGTTGTGCCAAGGAAAGAAAATACCAGGAACACCTAGGGATGCCGGGTTGGGGGTTGCCACGTTTGAGGGGTTTGTTTGACCGCTTTTTTGCAAGCGTCAGGATCTGGAAGGCTGTTGCAAGGGCTGGTCCGTGTGGGTGGCCGCCAGAGGGGCCCGGCTCGGAGGCTTCTGGTTTTCACGCAGCCGGTGGAGGTGGCGTGGGGCGCGGTTTGCAAGGGGCGCTGCTGAGGTCCGACCTGCCTTTACTGTGCCGGGTGTGGAGAGGCACAGGGCTGCTGGACACGCTCGCTGGCCCGGCAGCAGTGCTGGGTGCGGTTCGCGCAGTTCACCGCTGGCCCGGTGACAGAGGCGTCAGAGCGGAGCGCTGGAGCCCAGCACTGTGGGCTCCGGGCACTGCCCGTGGGCTGTGCTGGGGCTGGCTGTGTTGAACATGCCAGTCCTGTGTGTGGGGACAGCGCAGCAGGGCTAGGCGGGGCACGGGCTTCGCCCCCAGGGTCCCCACACAGGTGGCTGTCTATGAGTCCCCCTCGCCTGCAGAGTGAGCTGCTAAAACAGAGCTCGCCCTGCCCAGAGCCACGGCAGCAGCGGGGCAGGAGTGAGGGACAGCCTGGAAGAGCTGCTGTGAGTAAAAAGAGCACTGGGGGATGAGACCAAGGCAAAATAGCCTTAATCTCTCGCTAGTTCTCCAAACTTCACCAAGGTGTTTAGTTTTAATTTCTTAAAGTAAGATTTCTTTTTCCTCTCTTCCTTTATTTCCTTTTTTCCTCGTTGTTAAGAGGAAGAGGTTTTTTTGTTTTCAGAAACTGTTATGTAATAAATTTTTATTGTTTGTTAATCAAATTTAATAGGATTACTAAAATAAAATTTAATTATTAAGGTTGTTTTAAGAGCTAATATTGCAGAAACGCCTAAGCACAATGACCACATGTCCGGCTGTGAAGGCAAGAGGCTGAAACTGCAGAGCTGAAGCTGCAAGATGCTGTCCGGCTGTACAAAGGGGAAGTAGAACATCTCCTTATTCAGGAGAATTGCCTCCCCGCCACCACCGGGAGGCAGAAGAAGACCCCCTAGCAACAGGAGGCGCAGGCGCTGATGTGATCCAGGAAGACACAGAGGCAGAGACTGTATAAAAAAGGGAACCTCCTCAGCCAAGGCTGAGCGTGTGGGACGCTTAAGAGGAAGTGTCCTCCGGCTGCCCCAGCTGGCTTTTGCTTGCTTTACTGCTTGCTGGATTAATAAAATTGGCTTTCATTAATTATTGTTTAAATTGTCCCTTTTATTTTGTCACGCCAATTTATAACAGTTAGAAGAAGAAGTCTGTGAAGCTAAACAGTTAGATATTACCCAGAGGGTAAAAAGGTAATAAATGGGATTCATCTCATGTCAACACTAGCCTGGCCTTTCTTGTTTAACTAATTATAGCTCACACAAAGAAAAAATTGCCTCTACATTTACTTTCAAGCTTTTTATAAAAAACGCAAATGTTTTAGACAATGCCAATAAAAAATCCTGATGTGATGTTTTCACTGTCCTGTGCTATTAAGAAGTCCTTTCAGGTACTACTGATAACTGAGACAGCAGTCTGCACCAAAGCAAGAGGGCAAATCCATGCCACACCAGTAAAATCTAAGGAGCAGTGAAGGAAGCTGAGGAAGGGATTGTAACATCTAAGCCGGGTGATACCAAATTGAGTCTTAAGTGGGGACTTGGTGGTAATGAGCCAGGCCAATCCAAATGATCCAAGGAATGTACAAAAAATCCTGCCTATCTGGGAAGTAAGGCTTAGTTTATGTCAGTAGTTTCAAGTGCCACCTAGACAAGTTCTGAGACTCCTTCAATACCCACCTTGGGGAGGAATACTTCTACTTTAGACAGGAAGACCGGACTGTTTCAGTCAAGAGATCCTCATGTTCTGCCTTTAACCTGTGACTTATATAAAGCAGGGGATGGAATTACAACTTCCTTAAGTGCCATCCCATACACCCTGTCTGAATCATGCCAATACTAAACATACTAGCTGAGTTAAATTGTGGAAAACTTAGTATTGTAGTTCACAAAGTTAAAGCTCCTCTCATTGCATGAAGTATTGTATTGTGCCAAATCTATTGAGAACAATTGAAATAATAACTTTGCTTTGTGGATGGGAATTACTAGTGCCTGTTGAATGGGAAATACCTGAGGAATGGTGAGAAACTATGGTTAAGAGGTGTCAAAAGCAATTTGCCTGGAAATTGCAAAAGAAAAGAAGTAAGGAGGAACTAGAGGGCAAGACCGGGTTGGCCGCTGTAGTCGCCACCAAAAAGATCCTGTACAGCTGCTATGGGCTGCAGCCCCATAGGGAGGGGAGGGGAGGGGAGGGTATAAGCCATACTCAACTTCTGTTATTCCTTCTTCTGTCACTTGTACTTTGCCTTTTCCCTTTCAAGACACTGGCAAAGCCATGTTACAAATGCTTCCGAAAGCTTTGCATGAAAAACCACCAGAGTTCCTATTTTATTCCTCACACCCATGTCAACAGTCACTGTTATGTGCCACCAAAATGAAATACTTGTATGCAGAAATGGGAAAAAGTATTAGATTACAGAAAATCTAAGAACAAGTGGTAACAGCTTGGCAAACAAATGTCCAAAAAGAGAAAAATGGATTTGTTTCACATTTGCCATTAAGGGAAAAGTCCAAGATTTGGTAAAGGAAAAACTGTCAAGAAAAAAGACAAAGCCAGCATAGCAATCTAGCCCTGTATTAACCTCACGTCGGGACCTGTATACAAAGCTTAAACAGCAGTTAAACAGAGAAATAGATATCTCAAAATTAAGAAAGAACCTGTTTGTAAAATTAGGGGAAAGGTTAAGTAAGGAACTTAATATAACTGACTGCTGATTCTGTGGAGGGACTTTGATGACAGAGTGTTATAAATCCATATTGTGATATTGGCTTTCACAAGTATTAGGATGAGTATTGTATGTTAAATGCTCTGCAGCTCCACTTCATTTCATTTCCTGAGAGTTCCATAACAGTTTACTTCAAATAACAATTTTCTATCTTTAACCTTCTTGGGTCCTAATATATCCATGTAAATTCTGTTATAAATGACAATATAATATTGGCTCTTGCATTTATGTATTAGCTTTTGCATGTTGTTAATAATCACAAGTATTTTGATATAGTACAATTTACAATTCCTAGATATGAATATTCCTTTAATTTAACTGCTTGTTAGTATAATATAATCTATCAGTTTATTTCTATTTAATTTATGTTTATGTTTATTTATATTTATTTATATAAAGTTTATATAAATAGTAGTGTGATAAATAGATATTATATCCTAGGCCTTAGCAAAATATTAAAATGGAGACTATGAAATGTTAAAATGCAGTTATGTAATGAACCCAGAGAATGGTGTAAAACAATGATGTTGTTTCTCACATCTGCAGACAGGCCTCTCCAAGTAATAAGATAACAGTGACAAAAAACAGAGCACCAGAGAAGAATTTATTGACTTCTCCTCGTTATCAGGGAGTGGGAAGCAACAGGATGGAATCACAGGAAGAAATAAAATATATATTTATACTTAATCTACAGGATGTCATACAGACAAGTCAGAGGTTAAAAGCAAACAGAAGAGTTCCTGAAACATCAAAACCTCACAAGAATGTTTGAATAATGTATAAACTTATGAATATGCATGTACCCCCATCAATGGAATAGTATCTAGAGAACACTGTTTTAAGCTAATGATGTGTTCTTTGGCCAATTGCCAAAAACACCCCAGCGCTTGATATTGTCCCTTTTTATCCCGTATTAAACTTCAAAATTTTAAAGAGTGAACTTTGTTTTTCACAATTCTAACTCCAAAGTAGTGTTGTGTGGCAGAATAATACTGGAGATTGTGAAAAACAAAGTTCACACTTTAGAATTTTTAATAAGTTTAATGAGGGATAAGAAAAGGGACAAAAGTATCCAGCACTAAGGTGTCTCTGGCCTGTTCGCCAGAGAGCATGCTGTAGATTTGAAACAGTGTTATCTTTATACTGTATCATTCCTGAGGCTCATGCATATTCATGTGTTTTAGTATTCAAACTTTCTTGCCAACAATTGATATTTCAGGCTCCCTTCTTGTTTGTTTTTTAACCTCTGACCTGCCTGCAGGATATTCTATTGATGAGGTCTTCCCATGTTCCCATCCTGTTGTTTCACACTTGCCAAGTGTGAGGATGGAGAAAACCTTCCTGCATGCTTATGCTCTGGTTTCCATCATCCTTATCACATAGGAAATATATATCTACCACTGTGCTGACGAAGGTGAGGAATGCCAAAGACTTTATGGCTGGGCTGCTGAAAAACATATGGCCCAACCATCTTTCCTAGGGAGAAGGAAAACTGGGAGTTGAGGAGTAACAGAAGCTTTTGAACCTTCATTTCTTTCAGTCTGCTCTCCAGGAAATGTCTCTAGGAAAAATACATTTCTTTAAATTCCATGACAAGTGGAAGAGTTGAAGCAGTGGAAAACAGGCAAACAGGAAAACATTGAAGAAATCTTACAGCCTCTGGCCTGGAGGAACCATCTTGTTCACTGTTAGGTTTCCTCCTGACTTAAAAACCAATGAATTTGCTTATGCTAGCAACACTTCACAGAATCCTGCCATGTCACCAGTAATAGTGCCTGCACTAGGTCTCCTCTTGAAATAACCTAATATTAAGCTGAGAGCTGAAATGTGTTACAGTATCTGGGAAAGCATGAAATGCCAGACTGTAAGCGTTCAGTTAATCTACATGCACACAAATCTCTGCATGTAGTTGAGGAAACAAGATCATGAAAGCCTATGGGCTAGAAACTAGAAGTCCACAAATCTACAAATAACAGGTCAGATTTTAAAAGGGATTGTCGCTGTTGGACGCTAAATGATTCACACAGACACAGCTCAATGTATGATAGAAAAAGAAATTCACACTAATGGCCTTCCACCTTGTTTTACTACTTAGGTCCCAGACAGGGCAAAACAGAGCCTGTTTTACTGCTTTCCTGCCTCATGTTAGGCAAAAGCAAATCTTGCTTCCTTCCCAGCCTGCTTGTTGCATACACACAGCGGCAAACCCCGGGGGCAGCTGTAACAAGGCCCAGTGCAAAGCAGATGCTTTGGAGGCTCCAAATCCCACCTGCAGCGGCTCCGTCAGACAAGAGCAAGCTTCTGTCAGCATCCCAGCACCAGCCTGGTAGTTCCCCCCTCCCTCGTCTCCTCTCCATTCTCCCCAGCCCCTGCTCCCAAGACCTTGCCAGGCCATGCCATTTGCTGGGCTAGATAAAGGAGCGAGTTTCCTGCTCCTTTGGTGCAAATACCAAAGCTGTGAGAAGTGAGAGGATAATGTTCACTCCCGCTTTGCTTGATCTAAGGAGGTTGGTGGAGGCCCAGAGCGGGAGGCTGGTCTTTGAAAGAGAAACCGAAAGTGAGCTGCTGCTTTCTTGGATGTTAATGCACGTGGATGTTAATGTTATAGAATGGCAGAGGTTGGAAAAGTCCTTGAAGGTGGCCAAGTCCATCTATCCAGCAAAATGGAACAAAGCTGTGTTCCTTGATGACCAAAAGTACTCAAACCCCCAGCTTTTATCCCTCCAAGTATAATGAGACAAGCCCACTCACATAGATGCAATTCATTGAATTGAACAAAGCCTCCCTTTTCACTGCAAGCTGAGGTTTTTAGGAATCCAAGGATGAAAGCCCACCATGATTTCACTAGCACCATGGGGACACACCTTTGGAAGTCCTGCCAGCTGGGGAAGGGGCTGGGCCTGTGGGAGGATGCACGTGCCCAGATCCTTCTCAGGGCCAATAGCGTGTTTGCAACACCAAACAAATGGAACAGACATTGCTGGAGTGATTTCAGACAGACAAAAAGACAAAATGGAACAAACTTTGCTTTAATGAGAAAGACAGCTTTTGTCTTCATGAAAACAAGAGAACAAAAGATGGAGCTTAACGAACAACACCAAAGCTCTTACATTGACTGATAAGAATCGAACAATAATAATGTTAAAATCTAATAATCGAATCTAATAATCTAACAATAAGAACATAATAACCTAATAACCTAAAAATCTAATAATCAGATAATCTAATCATCATAATAATATAATAATCTTAATAAATCTTTAAGAATGCTAATGAATCTTAACTATCAAATTGGGAAATGTCGCTAAAAATCGAATCTAATAATCTAACAATAATAATCTAAGAAGCTAATAACCTAATAATCTAATAATCTAATCATAATAATAATCTAATAATCCTAATAAATCTTTAAGAATGCTAATGAATCTTAAGTAACAAATGGAGAAATGTCTATCTAGTCAACTAAACTAATGAATCTTAAGTAACAAATGGAGAAATGTCTATCTAGTCAACTAAACAGAAGAATGAACAATCCTAAAAACTTAAAAATCAATCTGATTCCTATCTAGACCATCTGACAGATAATTTCTGTTAGCCCCAGACAAGTGGCAGGCTTAATTTGTTCTTTCCTTCTTGGGGAGAGGCCCTGCTTCCTTCCGTGCGCGATGTCTTCTCCTATGTGCGTTCCTTTCCTGCACGGTTTCAAACACCCTGGAAGACAGGAAACAAAGCAGCCATTGTTAATTCAATGCACACCATTAAAGCGAGCTCCAAGATTTCCATTTCTCCGTGAATTTCTGTCTTTTCTGGCTGTGGCACCTCTGTAAATTGATCAGAAGCATAAATCTGATCTTTCTTGTTGCAGTTCCTTCAAATGTCTTCCTCCTCTCGCTTCATCTTCTTTTGGATTTGATCAGCACCATCAAAGCAAGCTTTGGTCTACCTATTCCTACTTGTGTACGAATTGTGTCTTGGTGGGGCAGGGCAAGGTTTCCCTGGGAATGCTGGGCTTTAGCTAAGCTCTTTGGGGTGCAAGTGGCTTGTAAGGCTTTGCACGGCGGTGAGAGGCGGTCCTGCGAGTGCCCTCAGCTTCCCCCGTGGTGCCTTTGAACACGGTCAGCCTGTTTTAGTCCAAAGGCGCAGGCTTTGAGAAGAAAGAGGTAGAACTTGCGCACCGCTTGCACTGGCCGCAGGGAAAGGGGCCTCCCGCCAAATGGGGTGGCTGGGGCGCTTGGCAGCAGGGACACTCCGCGTTGCGGGCCCTCTTGCGGCTTCTCTTCCCTGTCTCCCTATTCTCCTTTCTGGGAGGGCTTTGGCTCCTCTTTGGTTCGCTCACAGTCTGGAAATCCAAGAATCCTGATCAATTTTTCCTTCCTCTCACCAAGCTGGAAATCAGAGCGTCCAGCGCCAGAATCTATTGGCCTAAGCAAATTCCTCCCAAGCCTAAAGAGCTGGGAAAACAGCTGGATTTGGGGGCGGGCTGCAGCGGAATGCAAACACAGCACTTGGAGGAAAAAACGCCTCCTTTCTACGGCCTGAAGGGGTGGGATCAATACGTGCCTATCTATAGTTCTGCATTTCTTAATTGTAGCTCTCTGCCTAGCATCTATTTACCCCTAGTTCTCCTCCCTGTCCAGGGAATGGCTTTTAAATTCAGCCAAATTCCTAAAGACACATGGTTACCCAGTTTCTACTGCCCAAACTAATCTCTCTCTCTCTCTCAGTGTCTGTGAAGCAAATTCTGGTTTGTCAGTAAGGAAAGTTTCAGCAGAGCCACAGCATGTGCAGCTCCTTTCTGGTGAGTACACTGGGATGCTACAAAAGGTCCCTGAACATCTGCAGAATCTCCACGAGCGCAGCCAGCATTACTGATGTTAGCAAGCAGTGGGGAATGAAGGATCTGATTGGAATCAGGGAGGGTACCAGCTCTTGAGAAAGCAGTCAGTAGAGCGTCCAAGCCCAGTTTGGTGACAGTGCTGCTTTCTTGGGTCAAAGTTATGCTCCATAAGAGCATAAGAGCAGCAGCACCAACAAGGCCTGGGCAGCATCTGCTGCGCCTTTCCAGTGGATGGGACAATGTGATCCTGGCAGAGCAGTGTCTCACAGGCTTGCCAGCAGGTTTAGTCCCCTTCTCCCAGTTTCTCCACCCTCCGGGCTTGTCTTGAT